AAAGTGCCATCAAACCTTAGGAGGTTTTTTCATGTCCTGCAGAGATTTTTCTTCTTTTCTAACCTTTCGAAAACGTTCATCATAATTCTTCAATAGAATTTCATTAGATGCTACCCATTTCTATGCTTGGTCCATAATCTTTGTAACTTGAAACGACGAGCAGATCGGTTGTCGTTCGATGCAGTTATTTCTCCTCTTTCTAATGAGTGTTTTCTGTTTCCGACTCGCGAAATCTTTGGAATAAAGCCATTACAACTCTCGAATTCGAACGCGCCATGAACCCTACTCAGAAATTCGAAATTCATTATTTCGGCTCCGTAGACTCGAATTTGTTCCACAAAATCAGTGTTGAATCATAACTATCTTAGTAGTATCAAATTCCGGAGCTTTCCTGTTGTTTAATGCGTTTGTGTCTGACGTGGGTTTGCTAAGAGCCGGTGCTTTGAGTAAGAAAAAATTCTAAACAAGAACATGGCAAGCTAAGGGAAGGAGACTAAAGTTGTACGGTAACTGAAGGAAGGCTAGTGTCTAGTGGTATATTGAGGTTTCAACCTCCATAACTGGGCACACGAACAGATTGAAAACAAGAAATCTTATCCGTATAACAAAACGAAGACCAACGGCTCCAAGGCCAACAACGAACAAAACAACGAGAAAAAACACAAAATCAGGGGAAATGTCCCATTTGACCCTTTAGCAGGCCTTCGCACGGTTATATCTGGATCAATTCTCGGTGAGTTTTCACGTGGGGAGGTCTGGATCTCTCCTAACCAGTTTTCGACTCCCACGAGCCTCTTCTTCTCGATGCTCCCCGTTTTCTTCCCCTTTTTCTTCCCTTTATGAAGAGGGGCAAACGCCTCTTCTTCCCGCCAGCTCTGTATTGATGATATCCAGTCGCATCTTCCCAACACCCCTCCCCTCCGAGGATCCTCGACCTCAGCGCGGTGGGAGTTCTTCCAATTTCGCGCCGGGTGCTCGCATCCTGATGGCTTCATATAGGTGTCTGGTATTCATTACTCCGCAGTAAGTGTCGTAAAACTGAAATAAATTTTCAGGCGCTCTTGCCTCTATCCATACTCTACCTTTTTCAACAGGGTAGACGTAGAAGGTATAACTGGTCCGGGCTGGCGAATTCTTCTAAGGTGGCGTCGATTATAGTCCACAGTTTTGCCATGACATCCATATGTGTATCTCGCGACATTCTCCTCGTGGCCAGACTGATAAGTTCTCCTTGTTCATCGATTCTTTCAAGATGTGTTTTGCAGGCCAACATGATATTCGTGATCGTTTCTTCTTATTTCCGCGTAACCATCGGCCACACGATGACCCTGTTCGACAGTGTTTCAGTCCTTGCACGGCATTCTTGAGTTGGCTGAACTGCATGACTTTTAGTAATCACTCCTCCTCACCGGCTTAGCCCCCATGTAATTGAAGGCTAGCGTCTAGAAATCTCCAATCGCTTCCAACAGTACTGTTTGCTGTAGGATTTCCTCGGACTCCTTTGGAAAGTTGGCATAAAGATTTAGAACAATGGCAAGGCTTCTCAAAAAGCATGCCTCGCAGAGGTTGACTTTTAGGAGCCCGTTGATTCTGCCGCAGTGAATTTGCAAGTAATTGAAAAAGGTAAAACGATGCAATGAATACTACAAGATGTCCCAAAAACCTTTGTTACGCGGACTATGGCGCCCGTCTAAAAAATGCGAAACTACTTTCGGGTGGACCTAGTATTTTTACGCCACTTCTTAGATAGCCGTGAGGCGCTCGAACTGTGTTAAGATGTCACTACTTTTTAGATGACATTAGTGGTTTTTTAACGCTGAAATTCGCCTTGACAGACAAATGGCAGCAAATCCTGACGGGAAAATTTAAAACGATCTGTGGCTCGACTAATTGGTTGAGTTTGAGCCATCTTACTATACCCAGCCGCACCTCCTCATTACCTTGAGGCAGCAGACCTGAAGGGCGGTGAAGATATGTAGATTAGTTGGGTGTTACTGCTTACAGTAAGTCTACACTGCGCAAAAATACCAAATGCAGATGAAGCCGATTGAAGCAAGGATCTACTTCCTTCATTCTGCTTCAATGCTTCTATCTCAGAAGTCAAAAATTAACAACTGATCAATCTGTTTTTTTAAGGAAACTTCATTCTGTCTCTGGGTATTATGACGTCGATTGCTGCCACGAGTGCCGTTTTGATTTTTCAGATAATAAGCTTCTATGGTCATAATGGAACAACAAATGGGAAGAAGATGACGCACTGTTCCCCTCAATTTTCCAAAGAAGCTAGATAGAACTCTTCACGGTAACATGGCCACGACAGGACGTGCCAATTCAAAGACACTCAAAAATCAAAAGTGGAAACATTGTTCACACAACGAATAAGAGATACAAAGAATAAGAGAACTTTTAGGCTGAATTAATCTTCTTTTTAGCAATTTTAGTTCAATGTGTTCTTCGCTAAATTGCGCAAGGAGGATTTTTCGCTTGAACTTCTATGAAACATAGCTGCCGACAAATGATTGACTTTGTTGCAGAGTGAAGGCACTTAGAGAATACCACACACTCTTAGCAAAGTATTTTGCGTTGAATCTCCCTGCAAACACGCTGCACAATGCTTTATTTCATCTTATCACAAGAAGAAACAGGCAATGAGGAAAAGTGCTCGTTTCATACAGAATGGATCCTCCTAATGGACATGCTCACACTTTTTTAGGCATGTCCAATAGTCACCTTTGCACTTCTTCATGCATTGGTACCCAGGGGAACAATTTTCTTGGCATGTCCGTTTGTCACCTTTGCACTTCTCCATACATTCCAAGCTGAAAACACACATTTTTGTTGCGCATTAGAACAACGTAATTTCAGCCTTACAAGCGACGCAATTCTTCTGGCGAGAGGGTACTAGCATTCGTTAGCCCTAAGAAACAAGCTCCCAGGAAGAAAACGAAAAACAGGAAGTTCATAGTTGTTTTCAGCAATATGAGTGTGCTCTGAAAAATTCTTATTATTTTTTGGGTTTGTTTATACTGGTACGCGAGAGAAAAGCGACAGCACAGCGTTTATGACTGATTGAGTCTCCTTTGCAAGACAAATATATTGAAAAAGATGGATTGAAGCAAACTTGCGATTAGAAGGTTAGAAAAGTTCGATGAAAGTTGCACTGCGTTTGTAAAGAAAGAGTTGATTAGTGTGTGATGCTCGTAATGCAAACCCACTGAAGTGGTAGGATTGTAATAATGAACTGCGTTTTTTCTCTTTTGTGCAAATTGTCCTCTTTGCGATATCAAGGAACATAATGCGCAGACAAGAGCAAAAGCTTTTTATCATCTAAGCGAGCATGAAAAAATATTACTCGCAAAATGAAACTCCCGTAAGTTCTCGAGAAATCGGTCATCAATGGCCATCAGGGAAGTACAAGTACCATGGTTGAATGTGGCACTTCTAAGCGGAGTACTGGCACTTCTGAGCGGAGTAATTATGAACTAAAAATGTTCTCGAACTCTTGGAAAATTTTCCTCAAACTGCTGTAACTTTGAGCTGTTGTGATTTGCAAGCTTTACTGCAAGAACAATGTTCAGCCTATCTCGAAAAGTACCCATGAACGCCTTTCAGATACACGGTTGTCTCAAAAATAGGCCTGTTCCTATAGGATGGTCGCAGGAGAATTATAGCTGAAGAGGCTCATATGTAAATGCTGTGCGCCTATTACTGCTGCTTTGATGATTTTGGATAACGATTTTGGAACGCTATACGTAATAAAAAATTTCTTTAAAAAATGTGAAATACTGAGCAGTTTGCATCCAAATATGCTTCATTTTCTGATTCAGTAAATTTGAGGTTCTCTCTTCTTGGCAAAGTGAGCCAAATGTTTCAACGTGCAAAGGACGTTTTATGATATCTCGCGCATCTTTTGCGAGAAAAGTTGGCGGAGGTTTGACTGCTAGTAATATTTGCGCATATAGCAGAATTTGAGTGTAGTTGCAAGTTTGCAGTCGTCGAACACCCCATTTAGTCACTCTATACAGAAACGATTCTTCTGTTCTATGAATATGGGCAGTGGAATTTTCATTGTTAGAAAGACTTTTCTATGCAATTTAAACAGGTTCTGATACCATTACAATCAAAAGTGAGATCTGAAAGAGTTTCTTTGCTTTTTATAACCTCAGAAAAAAGTGTTGGAAATCAAAACAAAACAAGCGGCCTTATACTTCTGAACAGCTTTATATTCAGGTGAGCTTTTTCGCATCGCAATGAAAAGCGCAAACTCTGGACTTTCCGTAAAGGTTTTTTTCATACGCGCAAAGTTTTATTTCGTGAAGAGCACTAAATGCGATTTGCATCTTGTAAGAAAAAGCATCACAAAATTCTTTCGTAGCTTGAGTCTCTCATGCTTAGGATTAAGGGCAATTGTAGCCTTATTGCATAACTGAAAGTTTAGAATTAGTTCTAGAATTGCTATTGCAAAAGCTACTTTCTATTAGAACCAAAGGAACATAAGGAAAAGAGGAATTATTAGGTGACTGTCGGATTCAGCTACAGGTGGTATATATATACTGCTTTTGTGACATTTATGATTTCTGTGGCAATGGCTTTTGTGACGTACTCAGAAAAAAAGTTTGGATTATAATAGTTTTTGTATGCTTCGAAGCTAAAGAAAACTCATGTTAAGCTACTTAAAAGTGACACCAAACCATTGCATCATTATTCTTCTCATTTTCTTTGGCCAACTCGAAGCTTAAGATAGATAAATCCGTTTGTTTTCTCTGCACCGTGTACAGAAAAGTTCTCTATCTTGCTCAAATCAGCTCTATTCCAAATTTTTTGTTACAGATGCTGCTAAATCTTCCTTATATACCGAAGTGTGCCTACATTTTCCAACCAACTCTTGACTATTAGTAAAAATGCTTTTATCGAAAAGAGATCTACCTTTCAAAATAAGATGATTAGTCAATCGAGCAATCGGAAAACGCCTATTTGTGAACTGACTCATACTGACTCATTTACATGGCAGGCTGTTTAGTGCTAAATCCTTTTTATGTTCGTTGGGAATTGTTACAGCAAGTGACGCACAATTCTCATATCGCTACAGTCTTTGATCTATTCGCAGTAATGGGAGCGAAAATTTGGCTGCAATGAAAAATTTGAATACGTTTTGGTTTTCATAGCTGCAAATTCTGAGAGGCATCAAAGAAATCACCATTACCATCATTCTTTCCAACTCAATGTGCCATCATGTTATATCACAAATTTATATTGATAGAATAATCAATTTACTTAACTAAATCAATCAAGGCAATGTGGAATGTTAGCAAATTTAGAGAATAGGCGTATTAATGTTTTTCACTTTTGAAGTATGAAGATTTATACAAATGCACAGCTAAAAGAGTGTTTCTGATCTTAGGAGACCACTGAAGCATTGAATATACACAGAGCAATAATATGAAAGTTGAAAGGAAAAATTTAAGGGTTTAAAGGAAAAATTGCTGATATGTACAGGTGTCCAAAATTGCCGGCGCGCGTTTCTTTGAATGCTAGGACGATTTGAGGAGGACCTCATAATGCACTAGCGAAATTAGATTTTTCTGGTTTTTTCGAAAATCAAATTCTTTTGACAGCCGAAGTGCGCTCTGGCATTAGCCACGCACTCGAAAAAATTTTAGGCGGCTTTTCAAAATTTTTGCGGGCCCCAACCCCTAAAATCTGAAAAAAGAGGGCGTGGCGGTAGCCACGCCCCCGAGAAAATCTTTTTGTAAAGCTAATTTGAATTTTTGAAAAATTTAAAAAATTATTTTGATTGTTAACAAGAATTAACAAGTCACTTGCACATTTTTATAACCCATGTAAGTAACTTTCAAAATTTTCTCGACCCGTTCTCGTGGGGGGGGGGGGGGGCGTCGAGCTCCAATATGGTGCATTGGCGCATGGAATACGGAAGATTCCGCCCGCGTATGACATGGATTAAACTGGCAGATCGAGGATAGCTGGATAACATCAAGGACGTCGTTATGGGAACGCGCCAATTCATCTTCCGTTGCACAACGAACCTAAATCTACCACGCTCAGCAAAGAAAATCGAGCAAGAAAGAGGCCAGTAGACACTCGGACAAACCAGTGGCAAAAATGCAGGAATGGTAGCGAAGAGTGTGATGTTGAAATTGAGTATCCAGCTCACAAACAATTTTGGAAGGGTTGAGACGTAGCGTGCAGACTCTCATGACGAAGGTTTGGGTCCTTTTTCTCATTTTCGTTCAGGCAAGCTCTTCCTAACAGCAGGAAATCTGCATACTGGAATTATCTTTAAAATCAATTTCGTCGTGTATTTTTGACAAAGTGGATGCGGTGACTGGCTACGCATACTCAAAACCTATGGAGACAGAAAAGTGTGCTTTACCAAGTGCTCTGAGGACATGGATTACATTGCACTTACAGTCTGCCCTAATACGAATTAGGCCAAAATCGGCATGGCGGGAGTTCGCGTCGCTAGGATTTCGCGGTCACACTTACGTTGCTTCTCCGATCTCTCTTTAATGCTTTTGCTCTCTCTGACAATGCGCAAGTGCAGTGCAAACGCCTAGCGTTGCGAACGCGCAAATTTACGGACGGTTCGGCCTGGTCCCGATTGGGACAGACCGTACACTTAGAAGACAGGTAACCTTTGCAGACGAAAGGGTAAAACTCAACTAGGAAATTCTCAGAGATAAACAAAGTAAGAGCTCCTAAATCAGAAAAATGTCAGATTACCTTCATCGCAATTTGTTTAATTCCAAGGATAGATGTGTCTGCATGCTTTGCATGTGTTTCTTCCGTATGTTTATGTTTGTAATTCTCCTATGTTTGGTACTTGCAGAGAAATCGGATCATCCAAGCATACATACATACATTTATTCATCCTCAGCGGTTATATACAATGAATACCGCGATGATATCTTACTTGGCTTGAGCGCATCCTCGATTCCGATTGTCTTCGATGACAAGAATCTTCTTGCTTGTACCAACCGGCGCATTCTTGTGACATCGCGATCTTGGTCCATAACTTCTCGACCAAGTAGACGCAGTGGACCAGCCACGGTTTAATCCACCTTGTCTTCTTGATCCTATCCTTGGGGACGGTATAGGTCAGAGCTAAAGCTAGCCGACCGTTTGCGGGACTTTGGGTTTTGTTAACTTGGTGCATCATAGTTTCATAAGGCTACTTCATACTGACCTGAGTTCCGGAACTGTTCTAACAATCTGAGCGCTGTGCTGGAACTGTTCAGGATTATACAGATCAGCATGAACTCAGCCTGAGGGCCGCATGCATTAACATTCTGCGGGGAAGGGGATTGCAGCTTGAAAGGAAACTGATTTTCACGTTGTCTACCTGTCCGTAAATATTTCTACTATCCTTGACTACTAACATATTAAACAGGAGCGAGAAGCTGTACAAGCCGCATTTTCTAGCTTTTTATATGATCCCCTGATAATTCGCGGCCAACCGCCTTTTCTTCAAAGCCTTTTTCTTTCTTCGGATTTAATGAAAATGTGCCAGAGTTTCACTGATTATCGATAAGAACAAATAATATATTGAAGTCTTGGAAATCGAGATGATCAAGTCAAAAGTTGGGCGCCGAAAATTTCAATATTACTGTAACTCAATCGTTCTTATCAACAGCATGCTCAGCATTGTTAGTTTGGATAATCAGTACAACTTTGGAATGTTTTCGTTAACTTCGAAGAAAGAAAAGTGACTTTGAAGAAAGGACGGGCGGTTGGGGATTGAGGATCTTCGGGGATAATACAAAAAAGTGGAAAATGCTGCTTGCATTGCTTCTCGTTCCTGTTTAATATGTTAGTAGTCAAGGATAGTAGGAATACTTACGGATAGGTAGACAACTGAAATCCAGATATCTGGAGCTTTACAATTTGAAGCTTTCTTTTAACCTGCGATCCTCCTCCCCAGCGGAGTGTTAACGCATGCGGCCCTAAGTATAGCAAAAAGTTTAGAGATTACATTGTATTGCTTGGTTGGCAACACCT